TAACTCCATTGCGGGTAGGAATGAGTTGATGGATATCAGATATAAGGCAGTATTTAGTTCTTGGAATAATGTGCGGATGGTGAAAAAGCAAAGTTCCATTTGACACAGAAGAAAACCGAAACAGGAGAGAAGAAGTGTCCAAACGGGCAGAGTTCCGAGGACGAACAGGTAAAGAAGGCAAACTAGTTGAAGCAGTAGGTAGTGTAGTGGTTGAAGAAGCAACGACATCAACAAAAGTCGGTAAACCAGGAGGCACGGGAAACACACAAATTAGAGGAGCAAAGTCCCGATCAGAGTGGTGAGGAAGAGATGACTGTGAGAGACGATGGTGGGTATCCAGCTTGTCATAAGGCTTAGCACGACGACGACTAGGTGACAGCACAGGAACGGTAGACATCCCCGGTCGGTCAACGACGGGAGGAAGGTCAGAGTGCATGAAGAATACCGTACACACAACACTGTAGTCAATAACTTATTTACAATGAATAGTCAAAAGCACTAAATAAAATAAACTCACCAAAATCCACTAGACTCAATTCAACAGGTCCGAATCGTCCAAAGGTCTATCGAAAGTCCTCCTGAAACTTCAGACCAAACCAAGCCTTTATAGTAGTGAGGTATCGAAAATCGAAATGGGGTATTTAAGTGTTTTACACTCACAGAAAAGAAACCTATCATTCTTTAGGTATTTGAAGAACTTGTAGCATTCCGCCACAATTTAATTCTTCGTATTGTTAGTCGACACTTGGCAGCTGGAACATAATGGTACATAATTGAATAAAGTTGTTTGAACATTGATATTAAAAAAGTTTTATCATTGTTGATTATTAAATATTTTAAACTGCTATCCTTATCTTTAAAAGGGGCAATTATTTGCCAGTTTTATTTTGTTAATTTACCCACTTTTACATTACATCTCTACAGGCTTTATCCTTTACTTATCAAAATTTTTATATGGCCGATCCGTTTATTCTAATTTGTATGTTGTTGTGAATGTAAAATGTTTTGATCAAATATAACTGTTTTTATTTTTCAAGCATTATTACTTACTTTTTTTTTTACTTTACAGGTGTTAGAGAGATGTTAAGTTTGAGGTTCAAAGGTCCCCTCGTGATTCACAAAGGCCCCAGTGTATCGATCTAGTCCTCCATTATCCCAAATATTTCTTAAGGAAGGTCCTTACCTAAACCAAGACCCCCTTAGGACAATTGCTTATGAAGCCTGAGCATGTGTGCCAAGATTCTGAGTGTGGGTATGAACACAGTTCTAACAGTTCCCTGGGATCCCTAGGCGACCCAAGAACACAAAACATCTGATACCATGTTCGGAGTCAGAGTCACTAACAACCAACTTATAGACCCCATTATGCCTGGGTGACTGTCAGCCGCATGTTGCCCCTCTTTCCCCCTGTACCCTTTTGATAGGTTTCTGCGCAACACACTTCCTGGCTACCCCGAGTTCAACGTTGCTCCTGCTAGTTCCAACACTGTGACAGAAATTCGCGAGCAAGCAAACAAACAAACAAATTCACATACAGAAACATTTGGAATATCTGTGGTAAAAACCTATATTTGGTAAAACGTCCGTCCTTTATAGAGCTTTGGCAGTATCACTCCATCCTTCAAACAATCAATACCTGTAGATGTTCAAAGAAACCATCCCATTCCAGTCTCACCAAACCTTTACAAACGTTTCAACTCACCATTCTAAGGACTACTATTTTAATGTTCCACCTTAACGCTTAACAAAACTTATAAAGGAACCATGCAATTCAACTGTTAATATATTACGGATTTCAAAAGCACTGACCATCAGACACGGGACCAAAGGTTTTAGCTAAGAATAAGTAAAAAGTTTCATATTTCTCAAGGTTTTTAGCTAGGAATAAGTAACCAGTTTCATATTCCTCAAGGTGTAAGCTAGGAATAAGTAATCAGTTTCATATTCCTCAAGGTTTTAGCTAAGAATAAGTAACCAGTTTCATATTTCTCAAGGTTTTTACTAGGAATAAGTAACCAGTTTCATATTCCTCAAGGTTTTAGCTAAGAATAAGTAATCAGTTTCATATTCCTCAAGGTTTTAGCTAAGAATAAGTAACCAGTTTCATGTTCCTCAAGGTTTGAGCCAGAAATAAGTAACCAGTTTCATATTCCTCAAGGTTTTAGCCAGGAATAAGTAACCAGTTTCATATTTCTCAAGGTTTTAGCTAGAAATAAGTAATCAGTTTCATATTTCTCAAGATTTTTCTTGGAAATAAGTAACCGGTTTCATATTTCGGAAGCTTTTAGTTAAGAATGAATATCCAGTTTTATAGTTCCTATTTTCTCCACCAGATGTAGACACCATCAATCTAATTAAAATCACTTTAGGTGTGAAAAAAAAGGGGTGTGGCCAAAAAAGGATTGAGCATGTGAATTAAAGGAATGAAATCAAAATTGGCGGCCAAACTTGTAGCTACACTTGTAGCATTGATAAGAATTTTACAGCAAATATCATTCATTAGTTAGCCCGGCCGCGTTTTTTGTTCAATTTGATGGATAATAGTGGGTAAAACAAAATACACAGCCTAGCTAGCTAATGAAGTAATATTGCTGTGAAATTCTTTTCAATGATACATGTGTAGCTATCAGTTCACCTTTTTTTTCACATCTAAAATGCTTTCATTAGATATCATGGCTTTTTGTCCATAACATCAACAAGTAAGAAAGTGACAATCGATAATAACCCACATTAGCTTTAGGATCGCAACACCTATTATTCAGAACAGATCTATACTTTGCAGAACCAACCAGATTCTTTAAAACATATGATGATAATTTTCTTCTCTAAAACAGTGTTAATAACTTACTTTATAGTAACGCCATGGAAACTAGATTAACAGTTTTTGTCATCACCCGCATGCACTCGGTACAGCGGTATCAAGAATCATTATTTACGATAATTGCTTAATGTGAGATCACGTGATGCATATATTTAGACCAAATTTGTTATCCTATTATAGGGTGTAAAGATCTATCAGTGTAACAAATTTGAAAAAACACCTTGAAAGTTAAGTATGTTTTTATATTAAATAAAGGTTTCTTACTTTTGGTGCGAATAAAAAAGGTAGAAATTTAATCAAAATTGGAGATTTTATAACTCATGTATTTCTTAATAGATTGCCTTGAAATTTGGTATGTGAAGTAAAGGTCCAGTAGAGATTACCCATTGACAATATGTGACAGTTTAGATTAGCACATTCCGAGTTACAGAAAGTGGAAAATCGCTAAACTATCACTCCTGTTAATAATACACGGTGTGTCCTACAGATTGTTTTGACCGCATGACAAACTACCGTGTGTGTTGATAATTTCCAAGCTCTCTTCCTCATAAAAGTTTACTTTAAATGAACATCACTAATGGTTCACGTGGCTCTTTTATCAGTGCCACTGGTAACATTTGATATATCCATGGTTGATGTCCTCAGTGTAAATGATCCTTGTCTTAGGTACTATGTAGAACTTTATCATAGTGATCATGCTTTGACATATTTATATTTTGACCTCTTAAGTTTTAACATGATAAATTATATATTTTTCCCATGTTTCTCACTTTTAGCCAACACTCTGAAGCTTCACAGCTTATCCCAGGTAAGCCACAAGCATTTTAGAATGATATCTTTATCTTTAAGATAATTATTAAAGTTTTAAAATTTTGTTATTTATAAAAGATAATTAAAATTTGTAACAATATTTATAAGTGTTTAATATATTGTGTTATACTCCGGATTTAGGAGTAACATTTTAGATACACAATTGAAATTTGGAGATATTTAAACAACTGTCCTAGATAATATTAATTTAAACTATAGTTATATAATGAATTAAATCTTAGAAATACTTTATTTTCAGAGATTCTGGTTACTACAGTGTTTTATGAATTGTGTTTCTTTTTATTAGATTATTCCACTGGTAAAGTTCAGGTGAGTTCTTTAGTTGAAATTCCAACATTTTCAGTAGTAGTTAGGATTTGATTTTAATAAATTGGCAAAATTATAATTTCATATTTTAAATATCAGATATGTTTAGACAAATTCAAATCTGTGAAAGAAGCAGAACTGAAGAATTCATCAGAAAGAGAAATTAATGGTTTATTATGTGCATTTGAATGAATATCCGTAAAACAATATTGAACATGTATACCAAATAAAGGTTGTGTGACTTAATATAAAAACTTTCTAATTTGAAAGTTCAAAGTATTGATTTGGTTTGTTTTAAATTTCGCACAAAGCTACACAAAACCGTCCCTAATTTAGCTGTAAAATACTATAGGGAAGGCAGCTCGTTATCATCTCCCACCGCCAACTCTTGGGCTACTCTGTTACCAACGAATAGTAAGATTGACCGTAACATTATAATGCCCCCTTACCCCCACGGCTGAAAAGGCGAGCATGTCTGGTGGGATGGGGATTCGAACCCGCAACTCTTAGAGTGCGAGTCAAACGCCCTAACCACCTGGCCGTGCCGGGCCAAGTTCAAACTAAACAGTCACAATAAAAACAGTCACTTTCTTAACATTTAGCAATTTAAATCTGTTCTATAAAAATTGGGTGATATATAGGCCATGCTTTCTTAAGTGTCCAATTTGATGTCACCAGTGTTCTGGAGCAAATTTCTCTGAGTACGTACCTTACACAAACATATAATAATTTCTAAATGATAAACGATGGACAGAGCTTTCTAAACATATATATAATATGTTGGGTTTGTGTTACGTTTTTCCAGCAAACCAAGGAAATAAACAATGGTGGTGTGTTAAAAGTAGCATGTCGCCAGCAGAAAAAAAAAAAATTAAAGCAATAACACAAACATAAAAACTGTAAGTATGACTCAAGCCTTTAATGTCATTAATTGTTAAACATTTATGTTTTGAAAATTTGTTATTAGCTGATTGTCCTATTACTTTTTCACATATATAAATATCC